ACACACACACACACACACACACACACACACACACACACACACACACATCCTCACCCTGTAGTCTAAGGTCAGTTCCTATGATCTTGTCTCAGCTTTCTAAGAACCTGGGATTACAGGCTCTTCCACTGGGACTTAGTGCACAAGAAGCTGTGTGGCTGTACTACAGCCATATTGAAGAGCCTCGAATACTGTCCTGGGGCCAGGCAGAAGGAACTGCAGTCTTTTCTGAAGGCCACTGCACAGCGTACACTCCTAGAGCAATGCCTTCTAAGTGAGCAGGGTGATTTTTGTCCCGTCCCTGGACAAGCGGCAGTGTGGAGTCATGGGCTCCAGCAGATCGTAGAAGGGGTAGATGTTGGGCTGGACCAACTCAGAGCCTTGGAGCTGGGCCTGGGTGGTGGCTGAGCTGGTCAGCCCCTCCAGCTTGCCTTTCCTGCACCTCGCCCTCCAGTGCTGCATCTGGCAAGGGGCAGTGCCAGCTCTCCCACCTGCTGCAGGTAGTGAGTGGGGAAGGGGTGCATCTCTTTCTCATCCACATCACTGCATGCTACTGCACGGCAGACAAGAAGTGGTGGGCCAGCTACCCTATGCCCATGCCACCAGGACCAGCTCTGCTATGCTGCCCAGACAAGGTGCCAGGGCCCACTCTCCCAAGTGCTGCAGCCAATGAGGGGCAGGGACAGTCCTCCCAATTTCATGCCCTGTGGCCCTGCTGTCCCACACTGCTCAGGCTAGGAGTGGGGCCAGCTCTCCCTAGTGCTGCAGCTGCTAAGGGGTGGGCCTGTTCTGCATATCCCTCAGTCGTTAATGTGGCTCCAGACCCCCACTGCTGCAGGACACAGACCCAGAAAAGGCCCTCTGTGGCAGCATGGGCAAGGAACTCACCACGGCCTCAGGTGTATCACTGGTTCCTCACACAGGCTGTTTCTCTCTACCCTGGTCTTCAGTTCTGCCTCTCTTCATTGTACACACATCCTTATGCTTCTCTTTCTCTTCCATCCCTCCACCACTTACCTACTCATCTTAGTGGTGCCATGGGCCTCTGGGTGTCTGTAGTCATCTAGGGCTTTCTCTGCCTGCCTGAGCTATCCTTGCCATTCTTGGACACCACTGTGACATACCACTTTGCAACTATCATACACAGGGCGTTCTCATTTTGCCTAGTTTTCTAAGGGAAACTTTTGGCTTCAATAGTTCAAGACCATTATAGGCAGCAGTAAAGGACAGTGACGTGGGGGAGGGGGAGCTTCATAAGCATAGCATTTATTCACTTCTTCCTCTTCTGCTTTAGGATTGTGTACTGCTGCCCCTGGTTTTGAATACTAGGAAACACAGCCTGCAACACACACACACATACACACACACACCTCTCCATCTCCTGTGTACCCTGACTTTCTGGGACTTTTAAGATTCTATTTAGGAAAATTTTTCCCTTGGAGCCATTCTGCTCTGTCCAGGTCACTGAAGTTGTAAGCATGTGCCAAGGAAACCTTGGGAAAGTAGTTCAGAGCGGGGAAGAAGGGCATCTTTGGCCAGAGATACACTGGTGGTCTCATCATACCCTGTGGCTCTGTTTGATGAGTGGACTTCACATGCCCAAGGTCCCACACTGAGTGACCAAGTCAAGATTCCAGCTTCTTGCTTTGGCTCTCCTGTTATCTGCCAGGGACACAGACAGCAGTGACTAATGATTGGTGGTGACTCCTGTCAACTGCTGGGGATTTTCCATTGCTCTGTTAGGAAGTACTCTGGGGTGAGTCCAAACTTTTTTAAGACTTAAAGGAAAAGAAAGGGGAATTTGATAAAGAAGGTTATCCCTGAAGATGTAAGCAGAGATCCCAGAATGCTGCTAACTTTAATAGATCCATAATGAACCTTCCAAAAACAATGCAGGGCAGCTGGGATTTTAAGATTTGTGTTCAGAGTAGAGTTCTAGGTTTGGGACAGAACCTTAGAGCGCCCCCTGACTGCAAGTGAGCTGTTACTCCTTTCAGAGCACAGTTCCACTTTCCCTTCTCATTAAGGCTCCACTTAGCTGTTAGGTAGGAGCTTCAAAATGAGAAACCCAGTCATGTATAATTTCCAGTTAATGGGCATCTGTTGAATCACTAGGTCACCAAAGGGATTATTACACAGAGCTTCTTTGTGTAGTAAACACAAAAACAGAAAGAGAATGTTTTCCAAAGGCAAGTCTGACTGCTAGTGAGTAACAGCATCCTCCTCTTGAGGGGGAAGGTTGGGTTACTCCACCATCCTTGCTGGGGGAGGTGGCAAGGCCAGAGCAGCTATAGAGGGAGAGCAGGGAAGGAGGTGGGGCACTTGAAGGCCCTTGTTATTTGTAATTGCTGGTGGATGGGATGCATTACTGAGCAACAGACATTCTAAGAGACGGTCAGCCATTGGGAACTCATGAGACTCTTGAGCTTTATGCCACAAGCCATAGAACAACAATGATGATGAAGGTGTACTTCAGCCCTACCTACAAGTTAGCTGGTCTCCAGGCAGGCCCAGCCTGTGTAAGTGAAGACTGCCACAAGCCAGAGTTCTTTGGTTTACATCTATATATTTTAGTTTGGGATCTCAGAGTTTATGTCTTGAAGTCATTTAGGCTTTTCAGAACTTGGCATAATTCAAATAACCTGTTTTTCCCCCTTTAGAACACTTCAGTTATGGAAGATCAAAATGAAGATGAGTCCCCAAAGAAAAGTGCTCTTTGGCAGGTAGGCATGATAAGCTAGCAGATGACTGTAGATAAGCTCTGCTTTTGCTCATGTCCTCACTGAGACCAGAGCCCAGCCTTTGCTTTTGCAGGGTTGCTAGATTCAGAAGTCATCATTTCCTCAGGGAAGTGTCCTTACTAGTAATAAATAACTTTGGAGTTTTCTGAAAGATTCCAAAAACTATCCTGAAACACTGACTTTATGACCCAAGATAAACTGTATGGAAATCCTCTATCCCTGGAGTGGTGGAGACTTTCAGATTAGAGCCAAGTGCAAACCTTATGCCAGTGCCAGTCCTGTCCTGAGTGCAGATGGCTGCTTTTTTTCGTTTGTGCCACATCTCCTCCTACTGTGCTCTTCCAGTGGGGTACTTTCCTCTTTCATCTCAGTCTCCTTTCGTGGCTCTCTTACTTTCCGGTCTAACCTCCCAGGCTTTGTGATGGAGGTGTGGGGAACACGCAGACCTTTATGGTTTAGTGTTTTCATTAAGCACTCTGAACATTTTTCTCCTTTGTGAGGACATGAGTAAGGGCACAACATATGTAGAATAAAGAAAAAAGTTATCTTGAAAACTACAGAGGTAGGTTAGTTAGCTAGAATAATGTACGTCCAACAAATTTAAGATGAAGTGAAAGAAGGTAAAATAATGCCAGTAGGGTTTGGGCCCACCAGGGAGCTGGAAATAGAAACTGGGAAATGTGCTCCTAAACATGCATGTGCCTCTTCATCTTTTTGAGCATCATATGTAAAAGGAACACGCATGACCTTCTTCACATCTACCTTGCTGTACTTCTCTTCACTGTTGACCCTTTAGTTTGCAGTGGCTCCCAGCTCTCTAGCATCCAGGTTTCTTCATCTAGCCACCTCCTAGTTGGTTACTGAACAGGAAACTTGATGGTAAATGAAATAACAATCCTTTTTGCCTGTCAAATGAGAAAGAGAGTGTGAACTTGCTGTGAGTTAGGAAGCAGTGCGCAGATGCAGACTCTTGCCATAATTCTATTTAACCTGTTGTGAAAGCAGGTATTCTAGAAAACTGTCGCCTAGATGTTGAGTAAAAGAGGAAAGAACATATGTAGTCTGTAAGACTCCACAGTGCACACTTCGATGGGCAGCCTGATCTTGTCTTGGTGTGCCCTTTCCACAGATGACTGTTCATAGCACCGTAAAATTCTGCACTTCACCTCTGTTCCTTCCCATCATTTAAAAGCTGCCTCTGCTTAGTCCAGTCTTCACTTTACTTAAAGCTAGATTGTAACAGCCACACTGAATCCCTTCTGTGTAGATGGATGTGTTGTAATTTGCATTACCAATTGCTTGTAATTAGGCAGTTACTTCTATTTTTCCTGTTATAACATTGTGCTGCTGTTATGTTTACAATAGCATAGACATTTTCTTTTATATTTATACTTTTATACTTGAGACTTTATATAAGATATCCTCATATCTCTTTTGATATTTGCTGTTGATATTTATCACAGCGAAGAATTTTTAGTTTGTCTCAAGTTCTATTGAGTCAATTAAATGGGAATATTTTTCAACAAGCAGAACTTTTGTGATGCCTGTGCATTACTGCCCCCTGGTGGTAGCAGGTGCCAGTTGGCTTACTCTTCACTCCAGGAATTGAGTGAGGGTGGCATAGAGCTGGAAACTGAAGGTGAATGTCAATGAAGTGGAAGACAATTGCTTTCTGACATTGCCTCTACGTGCAGACATAAAAAATTACTTGAGATATGAAACTGAAAAGATTTTTGCCAAGGAAAGTTAGAAGTATCATACCTGTGACTATTTACAGAGGCTCTCTTCCTTCTTAGATGAATTTAGTCTAGTTTAATATGAGAACATACTATCAATAAAAGTTCTTCATTCCATGTAAGACTTTGGAAACAAGTTTCTAATGGGCATTTGTAATTCAACTCTTTGTGTCTGAAAAATCCTCTAGTGTTTTATTTTCTGCAAGTAGTCTATCAAAAGACAAATGGCTTGGCAAATGTATGACAAAACACTGATGTGGCCAGGTGGTGGTGACGTGTGCCTTTAATCCCATCACTCAGGAGGCAGAGGCAGGTGGATCTCTGACCACTCTGGTCTGCAGAGTGAGTTCTAGGACAGCCAGGGACAGCCAGAGACACCCTGTCTCAAAAACCAAACAAAAGCAGACCACTGTGATGTTGTTTCTAACTAGAAAGGTATTGTACTTCCTACAGAGAGTAGTGGTTGTGGCTTGAGTCTAGGGATGTTAGCTACTGTTGCTATGGTGACTGGAGAGGGCATGTATGTTTGCATGTGTGTGAGTACTCAGGTGTGTCTGGATATTGAATATACAGTGAGTTTGAAGAAAATACGGATGGTTTGGAGGCAGTGAGTACAGAGCAGCAATATAGAATATACTTAGCATGCAAGAAGCTCTGCGAGCAAGCCCCAGTACCACTACATTAAAAAAAAAAATCCCAAGTCTCTATACAGCCTGGAACTGGAAGCTTGCATTTCCAGCTCTTCTGGCTGGCCAGCCATCCAACTCTAGGTATCAGCTTGTTTACGTGCTCCCATGCTAGGGTTACAGGCATGTGCAGCCATGTCTGATTTTTAGGCAGTGTCTCTCTGTATAGCCCTTGTTGTTCTAGAACTCTCTTTGTAGACCAGGCTGGGCTCAAACTCACAGAGATCTGCCTTCCTCTACCTCCCAAGTGCTGGGATTAAAGGCCTGCTCCACTACACCTGGACCATGTCTGGATTTTTATGTGAGTGCTGGGGATTTGAACTCAGATCCTCATGCTTGCAGAGCATGAACCATTGCTCCTGCCTCTAGATTGTTAGAAGCTGTTATCCAGAAGTAGTTTATATGGCCTTTTTTCTTTTCTCTTTTTTTAAGGGAAGGGATGCTGGAATTGAACCTTCCTCAGGTCTATACCCAGCATCCTAAGGTTTCAATGTAAAATTTAAATTAATTAACATCCATTTTATAGTACAGGTGTGGAGGCCAGAGAACAACATGTGGAGTCAGTGATTGCTTTCTACTGTGTGGGTTCCTGGGATCAGTCTCAGGCTGAGTTATCTTATTGGCCATCAGGTTAGATGATAATGCTTTGCAGAGAAAGGTAGGTAGAAGAATGGATGAGAAAAGCATTGCTGTCGGGACTGCATTGATCATATAGAAACCATCCAGGGTGAATACCTTTCCAGGAATACAGGAGTTACTTGGATATTTTCTGAGAAGTAGGGTAAAAGAAGGGACGGAAAGCCTAAGCTGTTTGGCCAGCACTTATTAGCCATGAGAACTAATACAGAGGGGTCAAAGCTATTAGGAGAAAATGAAGCTTTATAGATTGATTTACTTTCAGGTCCCTCTTCTCTTGAGATAGACTGAGGTTCTCAGTGTGATCCCTCAAATGCAGTATGGTCTAACAGACTCAGCAGCACTTGGGAACTTGTTAAAATACTGATTCTCCGGCTCTCATCCAGACAAACAGAATCAGAATCTGTTACCAGGCCCTCAGCTACTCTAATGCATGCTCAGGTGTGAGAACCATTAGTATGGATGTACAGTAGCTCAACCCTGCTCTGCTTGTAATTGCTCACGGTATCTATGGTCAGCTGCAGTCTAAAAATAGTAAGTGAAGATTCTCAGAAGTGTAGGTGGGGAGAATGTATATCCAGATTCGCATAATGTTATAGTATATTCTCTTAAGTATTCTAGTGTCAGTAATTCTTACTGTGCACAATTTATAAGTTGTACTTTTTCAATAGTATGTGTATATGTGTAGGCAGAAACATGTAGCGTTTGGGTTCATGGGTTCAGGCATGTGCCTGAGTCCTGGAACATACACTGAGAATATATGAAGGACATTAATTTTGAGAAAGTGAGACAGACTAGATACTAGCCAGCCAGATGCCAGCTTATCAGGTTGGGCAGCTAGTGCCTCTAAGATGGTCATCTCCAAATGAGTTATCTAATGATGGGGGAAGGGGTACTAGGCATTGGGGAATGGAGAGCTAAGGCACCAGTCAGCTTTAGAAACAACTGCAAAGTCCAATAATTACTATGGTCATTAATTTGAGAATGTATGGGGCTTGCATATATTTTAATTGCATAAAGAATGAATGAACAAAGAAGTGAATTTGGTGTAGGTTGAAGCTGGCATATTTTAAGGTTAAATCCATAGGAAAAAAGGTATTTCTAATGTAATAGATTAAATGCATTTCTAACAAATTTTTGCTTTTTTGTTTTTCCAAAACAGATAAGTAACGGAACATCATCTGTGATTGTCTCCAGAAAGAGGCCGTCAGAGGGGAACTACCAGAAAGAAAAGGACTTGTGCATTAAGTACTTTGACCAGTGGTCTGAATCAGATCAGGTGGAATTTGTGGAGCATCTTATCTCACGAATGTGTCATTATCAGCATGGACATATTAACTCTTACCTGAAACCCATGTTGCAGCGGGACTTTATCACTGCTTTACCAGGTAACTGCACCTTTCCTGACAGTTGCTGGGCAATGCGAGATGCCCAGTCCTTGAACCTAGAGCTGAGAGCGAGTCTGTAAAGTGAATGGCAGAATGACCACACTGTGAGCCATCATTTCTGGGGACACCCACTCTATTTGTAGATTTTAATCCTTCAAGTGCCAGATATTAAAATACAGTAGATGCATTTCTTTTTTTGTTTTGTTTTTAGTAGATATATTTTTAGGAAATGTATGCCACTTCTGTGATTTCATGCTGTGTCAGTGCTGTTGCTTTATTTAGTTGCTTTTTTTGTTTTTAAAGATACACTTTTTAGGTTTGTGTTATGTATAAAATTTTAATTATGTATGCTTTTACATGTGATTTAAAATTGTATGAAGCTGAACATGGCAGCTTCTGCTTAAGCTAAGACAGAAAGATTATTGCGAGGTCAGCCAGAACAAGGCAGACAAAGGACACATGCGTGCGCGCGCACGCACACACACGCACACACACGCACACACACACAAACACACACACGTCTACTCTTCCTTAAGTCTGCTTCTTAGCAAGCCTCACAGAGTTCAGATTGTTCCCTTGTATCTGAAATGATACTTAGAAAATGACCAAGAAACTGAGGAAAATGGTAGTGTGTCTTTGTTAATGTTTTTCTTGTTTGTTTAGATTTATTTATTTTGTCTTGTGTATGAGTATTATCTACACGTTTATCTGTGCACGGTGTGGGTGCCTTATGTCCATGGAGGTTGGAGGAGTGTTGGGTTTTCTGGAACTGGAGTAAGGGGTGGCTGTGAGGCACTGTTTTGCTGGGAATCCAATGTGGGTCCTTTGCAGGAGCAGCAAGGGCTCTTAACCACTGGGCCACCTCTCAGCCTGTCAACATTTCTTGAAATTTGCTTCTCCATTCACTCTTCATTGCAGTCCCACAGTCTCTTACCTGTGTATGTGCACTCATGGGTACGTTTTTCTGGTTAATTTTTATTTTGATTTTAAAAATACGTTTTGTATTTATGACGGTTTTAGTCCTGAGCAAAATAGAATGAAAACTGTTGTTTCTGCCAGTGTCCATTCCTCTGACATGCACACCCACCTGCACCGTCAGTGTCCTGCTGCATCTGTGAACCTCTTGATACATCATCATCCCTAAAGCCATATTAGACATCAGAATTTGCTGTTGGGGTACATCATGATGGGTCTGGAAGATATGTAAACCTGTACCCACTATTCTCATTTAAGAAGTTTATTTCATTCTACTTTGGGTTTTGACAACTTATTTTTCCCTCTCTCACTATGAAATGTTTCATCTTCAATTTGGCTAGGTAAGGTGTAGAACTCTGACTTCTACAGAGAATTCTGGCTCTCTTTTGACGTGGTCAGTATAGCATGCTTACTGTGGCCAAGATGACCGGTGCTACTGCAGCAGCCCTGCCTCGGGAACAGCAGGTTTTCTGCAGTCAGTGCTTTGACAGCGCGCAAGACCTGAGCTGTGGTCCCAGGCCTGGGGCTTGTACTTCAAGTGACGCAAAAGCTTTTCATGCCTTTGTGCTCGTCTTCCAGAGTTCTTCTACTCCGAGAGTGTAAAGAATATTTGAGTTACCTGAGAAAGGCTGTTTTTTTGATGCCAGAATATGTTGTCTTGTCTTCCATCAGTTGTCTTCTGTGAGTGTCTCTAGAGAGGCAAATAGGAACTTTTTCTATCCAGAATTATAGCATTTAATTGCTTAGTCCAGTTTCTCATTAGGCAGATTAGAATGACAAGAATCAGAGAGAAACTTGGATGAAATGCCCTTGGATCACATGGCTTGCTTGCCATGTGCTTTTGTAGAATGATGGTGGCCACACTTTGGTTCAGTGTTAGCCCAAAGGATGAAATCATTCAGAGTTAAGATAACTCTGGAAAAGTCCTTAACTTGACCCTGACTGTTAAATAAGTGGGTCATTGCCTTAGTTTGCTGCCTATTACTGTGAGCAAGCATCATGATCAGAAGCAACTTGGAAAGGAAAGGAACGTTTATTTCACCCTACAGCGTACAGTCCTCCACCAAGGGAAGTCAGGACAGAAACTGAAAGAGACCATGAAGGAATGCTGCTTACTGGCCTGTTTTCCTGGCATGCTCACCTTGCTTTCTCACGTTAACTCTGGGCTGTGTTAAATTGACAAAAAAAAAAAAAAAAAAAAACAAAAAAACAAAAAAAAACAAAAAAAAAAACAAAAACCTAACCAGGACAATAACTCAGTTCATAAAATTAACTTTTAGCTATGGAAGATGAGAATGAAAGGCTATGGGCCTTTCTTTGAGAGAGAGAAAAGTAGAGGTGAATAGATTCTTGCGTGCATCTCTGTAAGTAGCACAGCATTCTTGTCTCTGGAACTCCACAGAGTCCTGCCCTGACATTGAGCTGCACCAGGAAGAGCCAGGGGCCAGGGAAGTCTTTCAAGTTGATGAAGGTATTGTTCCTCCTCAGTGACTGTTAACTAGTGAGGCCAATCTTCCATTTTCACAAGCAAATCTATTTATTGTTTGTTTGTTCTTTTAGTTGTTTTGGTTTTATTTTCTTCCCTCTAATTTGTTTTCCAAATGGTTTAGATGTGGGCGATTGCCCTTATGTTTACAGAATAGCCACAAGGTGGCACTGTTGAAGTTCCCTTGATAGTTTCCTGCAGCTCATTCTGGGGAGTGCATAGCCTTGGAGAAGAGGCAGACCAGATGAACATGTGTTATGTATATAAATATGGTTAGTATAATTGCATACAATTCAGTTTTCATTACAGCGAATTTTAAGGCATTGTCCATATCTCTGTTAAATGGAATTTTGTGGTATTGAATGTTATATGAAATGAATGGACTGTTGGCTGGGACATGGAAATATTTCTGTTAAAATGCTATTTGTTTTAACAGGATTTGATCTGAACATATATACATATGTCAGTATATTTCATACATGAGAATCTAATAGCCAGGGACAAGCTGGCCCAGTTGTGTTTGTGACTAGCAGACTTGGATTAAACCTGGCATTAGTTCTTATCCCAGAACTATGCCAGTAGAACATTACAGGGAAGACAAGTCTGTATGCTCTTATGTAGGTTTAATAAGTTGTAGACCAACTTTTAATCATTCTGCTAGTTCAGTGTTTAGTCTTTCAGTAAATCTCTTGAGTTTGAATTTTTACTGTTAAGATTGACAATCATTTTAAACTTTTGATTGTGAAAAACATTAGCTCTAAAAAATTGTCTATACTTTTGGCTTATTTTTTTTAAATGCTTACTGTGAATATTGTACCTGTCAGTATAGGAAAAGTGGAAAATGTTTGTGGTCTCTGGCTCCCTTTGGTTCAGTGGAAAAAGTGATAATTATGATACGCTTTTCTAAAAATCATGGTAAATGTTTAGTCTGCAATGTCAATTTCTGCAGGCTAAGTTTGTGGTTTGTAAGAACTGTTGTTAAAGGGAAAATTTATACCATTTAAAATAGAGGCAGATTGTACTTCAAAAAGGATGATAAGTCTTGCTGATGAGTTTGGTGAGTTATCTGTGCAATTAAAAATGTTGAAATACTTAGCTTCCTGACCATGGTTATTCATTTGTCTAGCCCCTACGTAAGGACAGAAAACCCACCACAGACTGTAAATGTGATAGATTAGATCAAAGGTCACAGGAGACCTCGGCAGGAAGGAGCTGAGACTTCAGGCTGGGTGCAGGGCCAAAGACCCAGCACCCACTGAGTGGAGAGTGCAGTGCTGAAACTAGAAAGTCCCTGGGCTTCAGTCCCACACTGAGCATCATAGCACCATCCTCACCTGTGTGGGGACAATAGGAACCTCGTAGTATGTGGGAGGATTAAAGACGGGGTGTGTTTGTAATATGCCTGGAACCTGGTGGATGCACCATCTAAGTGTCTCCACTTTTTCATTTGGTTTTCTTGCAGTGTAATGGGAAGCCCTTGGGTTTGTGACCTCCACTTCTTTTCACTTCCTTTCTAGCCCTTAGAGTCACATATTCCCGGGAAAGGCTTCAACATACTGGTTGTAGGTGGTTGTCTTGTTTTAAAAGATTTCCAACTTCAAATTTTATAACCGAAGCTGAGACTCAGGAAGCAAGGAGCAGCAGAGGTGGGAGTGGGGAGTTTCTTTACAGCTGTTCTTTTAAAGGTTTCTAAAATAATGCAAGTTTTTGTATGGTCTAAAGAGCTATGTTAAGCTGGCCCTCATCAAGGGCGTTAAACTGACATCACATGTTTGAGGTTCATGTTGACAATGGTAGGTTTTACACATTGAACTTTGGAATCGGTGCCATTTAATTGTTTGAATTTATTGCTGACATTTTTCTGGATTCTCCTGAGGTGACTGTAATTAACACGGTCAGCACTTTCAGAATTGTGCATGTACTGTCAGGCCGCATTCTTCTGAGGCAGTGGCGTGGCCGAAGGAGGGGGAAGGTGGGGACTCCCTCAGCATGATAGGGTAGTAAGAGCCAGACACATTGTTTAGGAAAAAAACTTAGTGTAACACTCAAAACACTTCAGCTATGGATAAAAGATTGCCTTTTGTTCCATAACCTCTTTTTCCTCAGTGGACTTGAAACCAGAAAGTTGCAAGATTTGTATGGCTCTTCAGGATGACTACTGAAGAATCCTCTATTCCCTGGGTCGAGGTGCCCCAAACAGAGCATTTTGTTCTTACTCTTCTCAAAACAGTTTGGGAATATGAGACTTATACTAAAAGAATGGAAACTAGCTAGTTTTGCTGGCAGTGATGGGCATTGTTTTCTTTGCGGATGAAGACAGGTAGCCTCCTTAAGCATTCATATCAGCTAAAGAGAGTTAGAGGGAGGAAAGGAGGTTAGGACATTTAGTGAATACCTGTTAAATAGCTGGCCCTTCCCACTGAACTTGAGAGATTCCTTCTTTGTAAAGTGTGACTATTTAGAACACTTCTCTTAGAGAGTTACTTTGCAGAGTGTGTGAGATAACTCCCTAATGATACCCATAAAGGATTATAGATTTGCTTATGGCCACTCATATAGCAGTTGACTGAAACAGAATGTAAGCCAGGTTATCTGTCTGCTTTGTCAGCCATTGTATTTTCCATAAAACTAAAGTAATTCTTACCTCCTGAATTTAAAGTAGTAGTCACAGGAAAGGATTCTAACCTTGGGTGTCACTAGGGCATTATTTAAATGAGCTGTTGGCATTTGAAAGAGGAAATGTTTATGCAAATGTTTATGCAAGAGGATTTGTTTATGAAAAAAGTTACTGGAGGCTTAGTTGTGAGCAATCAGTGAGGAGGAAAGATCCAAGACTACAAGGGTACCCTTGCTATAATCAGTAGTTCCTCAGTTGTCAGAATTAGGTGGCACTTCCAAGAGTTGGATTCCTAGGCTGCCTCCTCTAGAGGTTGATTCAGTAGAAAGTCTGAGGGATCTGTTTTGTTGCTGTGCTTTTCAAAGTCAGTGACCCTAATCAATTCCAGTCCAGCACACACTTTAGCATCTCATGGTTGCAGGCTCTGGCCTGTCAGAAGTGGAAATGTGAATGCTGTTCTCCTGCTTCTTCACAGGTCACGGGAACCATGCCATTGAGACCTGGAAAGGCAGTTGTCTTTCTCATGCATGCCTGCCTTGCCATTTCATTTCTCCAAGAATAGAGCTTTCGAAAGGAGTATTGGTTAGGGCATGTTTATAATGGGAAGATCCAGTTAGTGGGCTGGAAGTCATGGGAGTCATGTAGAGTGACTGTTAATATCCTTTGTGGGAGGAAGTCCAATGAACCCCCAGATTTAGAGAAATCCAAGAAGAGCTAAGTGTTAGCTTGTGGCTAGAGAAATGTAATTAAGCATGATTTTAATGTAGTTATAGTTGTGATAAGTATAGGCTCAGCTTATGACATAGGGAATTTGAATTCATAGTTTTAACTGTGGTGTGGAGAGAGGCACACCTGTGTGACTTCCCGTTGAAGATGTAGGAGAGGTCATATGAATATGTGGTACACAGAAGGTATTTGAACTTTGGAGAATGGTATCCAAGGTAACCCACTTGAAGACTGAGCAGCCTATGGGCTACATCTGAGCAAGGGGTCTAGGTCCTCTGCATGCATGGTCCTTGGTTGGAGTATGGGTCTCTGCAGGCTCCCCTGGGCCCAGATTTTTTGGCTCTGTTGGTCTCCTTGTGATGCTCCTGTCTCCTCTATGTCTAGCTCCCCCTTCTTCCATAAGATTCCCTGCACTCTGCCCAAAGTTTGGCTATGTTAGTGAGGCAGCAACAGAGCCTGGGACTGGTATTCAGAACAGGGGAGTTCTGAGAAATGACTGAGTGTTGGTACAGCTGGGCACATAGTCCGGCCTGATGGTGCCCAGAGGAGACCAAGGGACAAGTCTCCAGGTTTTAACAACTGGGGAGTGTTTGTAGGATGTCAGCTGTTATATTGCATGTTACTCTTGGGCCCATCTTAATTACAAAAGTTAAGAGATTAGGAAGGGTGTGTGATCCTCAAAAGGGTGAATGCAGGATATGAAAGATCTCTTGGCTACGGGTTTTAGAGCTGGCATTTAATTTGTTTATGCATGTTTTGTTTTTCTTCAGTGAGTATGGTTTGCATATGTTAAGAAGGGATCCAAAGCAGCTGGTGCAAACCTGCAAATGAAAGATTGCAAAGCTAGTTAGTAAGTACCAGCGGGAGAGTTAGCAAGTAAGCCAGAGTCAACTTTTTCCCCTTCTGGGTGCTCTTACCGCAGTAAGTCAGAAGAATAGTCTAAAGATGGCATTGTCTTCATGAGAGCTTTTCCAGATGTTCCTGAGGATTGAATTGGCAGATTTAGACTGGACATATTTAGATGACTTAGAGAGCAGAGTGTTGGGACCCTTAAGTATTACCAGATTCACCAGTAATAGCCTGCAGGGGAAGAACTACTGTCCTGGGTGCTGTCCTTGGTTCTGACCCATTTTCTGTGTTCTCAGCTGCGGGAATAGACAATCTCTTTGCTCATTTTGCAGGTCTGGATGCTAAAACCAGAATTCTAGAGACTGCAGTGGTTGGGTCACATGGAACTTTTGAACTTGAGCTATAGTAAGAATAAGCATAAAGTGCTGCTGACTCCATCCCACTGGTGGTCAAACGCAGAATTCAATGGAATTCTTTTAATAGCAGCTAGGGGGAAGGATGTAAGATTTTAACTTGCAGCCATCTTGGAAGTCTGCTTGATAAAGCCATTAGGGAAAGGAGGTCAGTCTTTGATTATATGACCCTAAGGTAATTTGAATAAGCAGGATAGCAATGGTGCCATGCAGCCTTTATTAACAGGGTGGAGCTTTGGTCTTAGATCTAGTCCAGGACAGAATTAGTATGTGAAGGGCCTGGAAACTGTCATCAGCAGTGTAACATATCATTCTAAAACTTGAAGGCAACCTCAGTTTGTAAAGCAAGCCTGCTGTCCTTCCTTCGGTGAAATAGGATGGACTCCTTCACCATCTGGCTTGGAGAGAATTCCTTATGTGTCATTTTGTGTTGATACTCTCACAGCCAGAGACTCTGCCCATACTCTGCAGATAAGGAAATAGATGCAACAGCTGCTGCTAAGGCCTACGAGTGTGTCAGCATTTGGTTTGTGCCATAGAACCAGCAGCACACAGTGAACTTAGGACATGAAATTTTAATGTTCTGTGCTTGGGGATGAGTTGTATTTTCTGTAGGTACAGAAGACACACCTAGAACTCTGGGGTGGAATATAACAGGTGGTGACAGGGCTAACCATGGTGATCTTCCATGGCAAAGCCCCACAGATGCAACAGGCTCTCGTGGCTGACCTTTCTGTGGGCTGTTTAACTCAATCCCCAAAGTCCTAAAGTGAGTAAGCATGTGGCTATTGCCTTTGAGGGTTCTTGCCCATCTGTTCAGTACAGAAAATAGGTCTTCATCAGAGGGAGATGAGAAGATTGACATGAACACTTTTAATTCTTCAACTGTCTTAAAAATGGGTCAGTCTTAACTTTTGGCCTCTGTGGCTACCAAGGATTCACGGTGGAGTATGGTTTATTTCAAAAGACAGGGAATATGAACCACAAGAACAGGTTTTGAAGTAAGTCTTGAGTTCCATCCTGGCTTCACCACAGGGCACACCAAGAGCTTTTCCCTCTCTGTCTTGACTGTAACTTTGGAAAACTATTAGCCCGTGAGGGTTTGGCAGGAAAATGGAGGGAAAAAGGAGTCTCAAAATTGCGAGAAAGACAGAACTGTCCCAGGGCAGCTTTTATACCAAGGGCAGCTGCCATCCCTGCACCTGTTTAGGAGCCTTTCCATGTCTTGCTCTTGGGTGTTTCACCTACCTCAGGGTTTATTCATTTCTTACTTTAAAAGAAGGGCTAGTCTGTATTCACTGCCCTACCCATTTCTTTCATTGCCTTTCTGTTTTGTAGAGCAAGGCTTAGATCACATAGCAGAAAACATTCTTTCCTACCTGGATGCCCGGTCCCTGTGTGCAGCAGAGCTGGTGTGTAAAGAATGGCAGCGAGTGATCTCAGAAGGGATGCTTTGGAAGAAACTCATTGAGAGGATGGTGCGCACTGACCCTCTCTGGAAGGGACTCTCAGAAAGAAGAGGCTGGTAAGTACAGGGAGCTTGTTTGGAAAAAATTTCCTGGGTGTATAGTCAGCTTGATTATTATAGGCAATTATATTTATGAATGTGTTAGCCTACTTACACAAGGGAAAACGATTAGTGTTAAAGCTGTTAGAACTTCCCCTTCTGACATTTTTTTGTTATTATAAAGTTTTAAATACCTCAAATAGGTGAGCCATTTATCTTTTTAAACCTATTCATTTATGCTTTTTCAAAAGTTAGGCAATATTCCCATCACAAAAAGATAAGAAAATAAAACATGAGAGTTGGGGCTAGAAAGATGGCTCCGTGGTTAAGAACACTGGCTGCTCATTCAGAGGCCCCCGGTTCAATTCCCAGCAACTACTTGGCAACTCACAACTCTCTGTTGCTCCATTTCTAAAAGGTCTGATGCCCTCTTCTGGCCTCCATAGGCACCAGGCACATGTGTGGTACACATACATGCAAGCAAAACCTCCATACATAAAACACATTTTTAAAGGAAAATATGAGAGTTTAGTAATGTTATTTATTTGCTTTTGTGATTGCTGGGAATTGAACTTGGGGACTCATTCATTGTAGACAACTGGCTCTAGCACTGAGCTATTCAACCAGCCTGTGTTAAGTCAGTTCCATGTTTACTACTGCTCATGGGGAAGAATGGAAATGCAGCATAGGGGTTTTCAAGAAAGCCTGTGAGCTTAAATGCAGTTTGATAGTTCTGTGACTTGGCTTAGTCAGCATAGAGAAAGTTATAGACAGAGGCACAAGATTGGGAAGATGGAGGGTGAGATTGCATTTTATGGGGGGAAGTTTAATGTGGAGTAAGACTTCACAAGCTTCATTAGCACTTACTATACGCCTGGGTGCAGGATAACATAGAAAGAGAAGGAGAAAGACTCAGTGCTACGGATGAAGGAATGAATAAAGCTAGTGGGCATGAGGAGTGGAAAGGATGGCAAGCTAATTGTTTTTCTGGTTCTAACTCTGGCATGAATTTTTCACTTTCTGTAGTAGATAATAAGAGCATAAAAGTATATTTGATAGTGAAAGTGTAGAGTCCAGTGTGAAGGTCTAGCTTCAAAATGCCTACTGTAATTTTTTAGAGGTTCATTAAAATGTGTTGACTTTGTAACTGGTTCATTTCAGTGTGTCCTGTTTTTTATTTGCAAGTTTTTACTAAGAAAGTTTATAGGGGGGAAAAACAGCTCTAGAATGAAAGCTTAATTATTTGTGTGACAGTACTCAGAAAACAAAAGACCAATGTCATGCCAGAATTAAATTGTCTCTACCATGGAAACTGTATTTTGTCAAAAACCTTGCTTTTGAACTATTAGCATTCAGTGTAAGCAAAACATGAAACACGGGCTGTCCTTGTAAGCATGCTTAAATAAAATCCCTTCTTTTATGTGCAAAAAATATAACATCTGTTTGTTTTCACTTGCCAGGGATCAGTACCTGTTTAAAAACAGACCCACAGATGGCCCTCCCAATTCATTTTACAGATCATTATACCCAAAGATTATCCAGGACATAGAGGTAACTGTTTCACTTAATTGTTTTGCACCCTCTGGGGTCTTGTTCTTAACCTTTTATATAGTTTTAAAGGTCCTTTTGTCCTAAACTCATGGTCTTCATATTTTTGAAAAGTTGAGTTTTGGAAATAAATGTCACAGTGTGTAATCTGTAGCTGTTCTCCAGAGCTGATGTTGCCTTTTTGTAGAAATGTAACCTTTCCTAAAACATGCAATGCTTCTGTAAGGCTGCCAGTTAATTAAAACCTTCATCCAAGATAAACTGTATTCTAATTTGATAAATTTTCCACAATCCAAGGCCCAGTGTTTTAGGTAAACACACTTTTATATTTTTGAGCCATCTTTGTAGAAGGCATGTTTGTAGTCTTCTCTCTCAAGTCATGCATAGTTTTTCGTAAAAATGGCTCAGGTTATTCTAAGCCACTGTGAAACAGGCTTTGTGAAGCAGGTTATGCTTTAGAGCTGTTGTGGAGTTGAGTGTAGTGACTTCAGGGACCGGCAGCACTCTGTTCACTTACTAAGAAACGCTAATGGTGTCCGACCCTGTTGGAGCGCTCTAGTTCAGTTTTATTCTTTAGCCCCTTTCCTTGAACCAGGAAAGACATGCACAGGTACTTCTTCATGAACTCTTTCACATGTGTTCTTGCTTCTTCTTGGTTACTTCACTGTTTCCTCTTTGGCAGAAAAGTTTGCCTTTCCAGTTTCCAAAATGTGAAGTAATCCTCTTCCCCAGGTGAGGAACATAAAAGTTATTGTGCCAAAATTCGTTAATGGAGAAACATGTGCCTTTGTAGAGTTCATCCCCAGCCCCATCTCAGGCAGATGTGAACTAATGGAGCCATCTTATTAATGGTACATCTGTGTGTGACCAGATATCACTGTTTAAAAGAGAAACTTTTGTCTTGGGTGTATGCCCTTTAAAAACAACCTGAAAACTAACCTTTTAGGGAGGACTCAGTAATTTTAAATTCTTGCCACATAAAGTTGAAAAATTAATTGACCTATTGTTCAAAACTTGTACTAGTGTCCTGCAGTGCTTAGTGGGTGACGCACAGTGGACTGTCAGCATAGTCTGCATTTCAGGAGGGAAGGGGCTGCTCTAGGTTGGTGCCCCAAGACATTTGTGTATGTGGATATCTTGGAAATGCTTTTCTGTTTTTTTGGTGGGGGCAGCTGTTGCTAGAGACTCTCAGCTTTGCTTGAGTGGTCCCAAGAAGGCATTCCTTTTGAGGAGATGTTGTTTAAAGCCAGTCATTAATAAACAGGAACTCTGGAGAACCTTTATCAGATTGAGGTTTGGTGATGTAGATTATTTTATTTAGTCACCATGACGACCGTTATAATTGACAGTATGACAACACTTACCATAACCATTTCTTCAGGCTAAAATAATACTTTAGAGCTGGCAAAGGAGGCAGATGTGATGGGAAATGGAGCCATTGGGAAACGCTGTTTGACACAAAACCTCTGCATCATGGTGGTCCTCCCAGTGGTTCTTAAAGTGTGGTTTAGGAAACCCACTGCCTGGCCACAAGAGTCTCCGCAGATTTTTGTGGCTAAGTTTTTTAGTATGAGAGATGACGCATATACTTTGGTGTACGCACTAATAGTAACAGTGACAGAAACAGTGTATCACTAATAAGAGCACTTACCAGGACCAGATACTTTGTTTAGCAGTTTATAGCATATTTCCTAATTCAATAGCTTGGAGACCTGGAAAGTAGGTCAAGTCCATATTGAACATTTAAGAATCATTTACGGACAAGGTAAACTTCCTCTGGATCACAGGGAGTGACACAGCCCGTAATCAACTGCATGCTGTCATCTACACAGTGCACAGCTATCCACATTCTCTACATACATAGTTACTGAGTGGCAGAGCCCACCACCTACCAACCGCACACTCTCTGGCCCTTCATACAGGACTGTTGCAGTATGGCCAGTGGTGCCACCTTTGAATAGAGCTCCACCCTCTGTATTAGCAGCATGCTGTGTTCTGTCAGGTCAGACATATATGTGGAAGTTGATCCATAGATCAGAGTGTGAGGCACACAGGTGAGCCTGGCCTTGTCCACAGTGACTGCTGTGAAAGCTTCACCCACAGGGCACTATGATTGTCACCCTATAGTCTGCCGTGAACTGTGTTAGGGAATTTACATAGCTAATTGCAGTTATTTTACAAGGTCCATATCATATATCATACCATATCATATCATATTATAAAGGAAACTGAGACTAAAAGAAGTTTTAGAATGTGGTACATAGAAGAGGTGGGCTTTTAGCTGAGGTCTGTCTTAGCCTTCGGCTTACACTTACTTGTTTGCTATTTCCAAGGTAGAAAGTTCAGGAAGTAAAGGAGAAAGGCACGTTTTAGTCTTGTATGGTCTGCTCAGGGAGTGGATACTCAGCATCCTGACTGTGGGGATGAGATCCCTTGGCCTTGCTTTAGTTGTGTTAGGGAAAAGGTGGTGTTGGAAGGTTCTTAATCTTAAAGCACGCTGCCCACTGCCTGAAAGGTAAAGGAACAGCTAATTGCCAGGCAAGTGTTCAGGTCCCCCTAGTCTGTACCCCGGTCCCCAGTGTATTCTTTCCCCTTACATTCCATAGATCAGGTGCTTCCTTGATAGCACTTTTGTTTTCTTCTCCTCTATCCTGACAGCTTGCCGACTCCCGATATACATCCATTCTCAGCTTGGGCTCTCATGAGCATAGAGGAAAATGTTCCTCTCTGAACTTTGCCTTCCACATCAAGCCACCAGAAAATCACTATGTTTTAAGGAAAAACAGACAACCTGGCTTTGTGTGGCTAGTTCTGCTGTTCAGAAAATGGGAAAGTGAGAGTCGGAGTCTGTGGAGAATAGTTCACATTCTTTGTTTTCTACAAAGGTCGCTCTCTTCTGGGTGTTGTGACCACACAGATGGTCTGCAGGGCCCCTAAACTGAAAGGGAGCTCCTGGTAAACCTGAGGCTTGTCCCGCCAGGAGGCAGCCACACCCTCCTTCACTATCTAGAGTCCTTGCCAACGCTGTTTTCAAGGCAGCGCACTGCGCACTGCAGGGTACTTGGTTGACCTTAGCTTCCAGAACTGGGATCCTGACTCCCCAGGCTCCCTCCACCCACACTCCCAAGCGCCTCTGTAAATAGATGGCAAACATGTTAGTATCCTGAACTTGCATTTTTCTTTTCTGCCATTTCAGAGTAGTGACTCTTTATATTTACTGGATAAGTGGCTTTTGAAGTACTCTCCTTGGAGCTGGCCGTGGGGAAAATGACGGTGTGTTGTATCACACCTTTTAATAAACCACATTTCATTCAGGGAAAGTGGAAAGCTTTTTTGTGGTTTGCAAGCTTGATATTAACATTGTCCCGACTAGAAAATGCTGAAGCTTGCCCACCCACCCAGTTATGTTTAGGCTTCTAAAAATAATGTTATTCCTCCATACTCAGACATCTGTTTTCACTCTATTGCCAATTTAAATGCCGCTGTATACTCTGTATATCATGGCTACTTTCCCAGTATTTTGAAAATTTGCGCAGGGTAAGGGGATTTTACAAGTTCTCTAACACGTGAAATACCCTTCTACAGTAGCTGTACCACCTGATGGCTCATGGTAGGGCAGGTATTGGAGAGGGCACCTGCATGTGACTGGCCTTACTGCTGCTCAGATAATAGCTGAGTTCCATTTGAAGGCTGAGCACCTTGCTGGGCCTACTACGAAATGCAGGCTTCAGCAATAAATAGCAGCCTAGGCCATCACAATAATTCCTGCAATTTGGGGAGAACCCTCCCTTTTTAATTACAGCCCACTGTTTTTGGCAGTGTTCCCAGTAGGTTATGATGAGTACATGTTTTATCTTACGTGGTCCCTTTGGTAGTTGGGGACAGATTCTCCTGATCTGCTTCCTAGAGGCGGAAGCTGCTGCTCAGTCTGCGCCACCGGCCAAGGCTGCCTGCCAGGAGGGAAGGTCTAGTTTTTGTGAAAACCTAGTTGAGAAGAATTCGAGTGAGAGCTGAGGTTGTCAGCCATGGCGGTAGTGCTCTGGGCAGACATAATCGCCAGCAAGTGCTGCTTTTATGTGTGGGTGGCCTGGAGAGCTAAAGAGAGGCAGGCTCAGGAGTGCCCTTGGTGGCTGGCAGAGACTTCCTGTTGGGTTCCAGTGAGCTATACTTACCTTGGATTCAAGACTCTAAAGATTTAAAACCTTGCCCTAACTGGGGACTTCCCAGCATGACTCACCAAGAGTTTTCTGAAGTTTTCCTTAAAATTTAAAAATGGCTTAGCAACGTAGGAACCTTGTGAGTACAGAGAAGCTCAGCCATACCCTGGTTTCCTTTTGACTTAGAGGGAAAATGGGCTATCTGGTGGCACTTATGTGAGGTTCTGTCCTCTCACAGCTGCCTGAGGGACAGCCGGCAGGACAACTTAGCTTTACTATTGGACTCTTTGCCCAGGTGTTTCAGGAACTGATTTGGCCAAGGCAACCATGTGGTCTCACCTTGGCTCTTCTCTTACTCCATTCTGTTGTACCCTCAGTATGGTAGGTAGTTAAAAGTTACAACCAGCTCACACTGTTCGAGAAAACGCCTTGGAGAGCAGTGGGAAAGTATGTAAGAAAGCCTCTCGCTTCCTCTATGTGAAGGAAAGCTTTTTTTCCTCTTTTAAACTCTCCTGTGATGTAACTATGCCTTCTTTGTTCATTGAAATACAAAGTAAAGCGTACTTTAGATTCACACTACTTTAAAGCCCAAAGATACTTACGAAGTTGTAAAACAATGCCTGCTCTAAAATAAGACATGCTGTGTATATGACACTTTGGTTCAGATGGAATCACATACTCTCTACCAATTCCAGTTCCTTCCAGTGGACAGCTGGCATCTGAAAATGGGTGACTACTACCCAACGTCACTGCTGGGCCAGGAATAGACTCCCTACTGATAGATCTGGCGTCCTCAATCAGCATTTCCCTGGAATGTTTAGCATGCTGAGATGGCCCAGTCACTATCTAGAAATACACTGTTTCTTTAGATGTTTCTATACAGTGGGTTTGTTTAAGTAAGTTCTTATGCTCTGGACCCCTTTAAAAAGTTGCTCATAGAGACCTAGCTTGAGAGATGGTTGTGCAGGTGGGGTGAGTTAGTTTTTCTGGTTTTGACAGTTTGCTGGCCACTGGAGATAATGCTTGCCTGAGGAAGTTCTGATGGTAGCAGGTGGCCAGAAGAGATTTTCTACTCTGCTGTTGCCTCCAGGGGTTGAACATATACTGTCCTTGCTTGTTCAGTGCTGGCTTGTGAGGACCCAGATGCTCCCAGGGCCCTTGCTGAGCCTGAGGGTGACAAATGACAGACACTTGCCCTTTCAAGTATACATGTATTATTATATGTATTAGTAGCTCTAGCTGTCCATTTCTTTCTCTACAAAAATGTGGGCTTGATTTTTACCTCGGTGTGAGATGATGAACTGGCTAGACATACAGCTGGCTGTGTATGTATCTGCTTCAGCAAACTGAGGTACTACAGTGGAAAAGAATTAAAGAAACTGCGTTTGTATTTAACATGTATTTAACAAGACTGTTTTCCTTTTGTTGGGATTCCCTAAATATTTTAGTATCACAATCATTTATATAATATTTTTATTGAGCCAGTTATATAAATATAAGTATTATATTTATATAATATTTTTATTAACCCCAGCACTTGGGAGGCAGAGGCAGGTAGATTTCTGTGACTTTGGGGCTAGCCTGGTCTAGTTCCAGGACCACCAGAGCTACACAGAGAAACCCTGTCTCAAAAAAACAACAACAAAAACACAAAAATCTCTCATTTAGATCATACTTGTTATTAAAGCTCATATAGAAATGATTTAAAGTGTACATGAGGATATGTATAGGTTTATAAAAATATTATACTATTTAATTAAATGAGGCAATCAAATTGAGAGTTGAAGACCAGCCTTGGCTACATAAGTGAGGAGTACCTTAAAAAAAAAAAAAAGCCAATACACAAAACAAAGTAATTATGCTGTTTTACATAATTATGCTATTTTATAAAATCAACACCCATACGTTTTGGTATCTGTGCAGGATTGTAGAGCCACTTCCCTCTGGATGCCCAGGGATGACAGTATATAAAACCTAGGACAGTGTTAGGAAGCATGGCGCCAGCCTGGAACACTTAGAGAATGTTAGCAATTTAGAGTTCAAAGGAAATACAACTTATTGGGCATTAGGGGAACCAGTGATTGGGCCTCCTTTGTGAATAAAGGCAAGACTTACCTTCTTCAATGCAGCAAACAGTTGTGCCTTAGCTACGCAGAGGTCATCTTTCAAACTGGACTTGAAGTTGCGTGTGGACAGCTGTATATGTTGGCTACTGGTTTCAAAGAATCCAGATAGGTAGTCTCAGTAGAGGCTTATGCCTTTTAATCTTGGATAGTGCCTCCTAGCTGCTGCCTAAGGCAAGGCCTTCTGCTGAACACACTCTACTTCCCCATAAACTGAGTCATGGTCTCAAGCCAGGTTGCCTTTGGTGGCCCTCAGGTCCTGCCACCAGAGTTTGTATCAATTGGTGTTTGTTTGTTTGTTTTTGTTTTTGTTTTTGACACAGACAGTCTCCTGAATTGTTACTGGTGTGTTTGAGTTCTGTGTTCTCTGCCCAAGAGCTAGGACTATTCTTTATCCGTTATATAGGGAATATATTCCTAGCAGAATCCTGGCTGGTCAGAACTGGGTGTGATTTTTAGCTAGTCCAGTTACTATTTTGCAGCTTTAGGTAGGTTTCCTTATTTATAAAAGGAAAATAATGAGAAATACTACCAAGATTATTTGCTTAATCTTTGGCCAAGTAAATTTAGTTGAGAATCTAGATGTTCCTTAATGTACCATGAGGTTACATCTGGTTAGCCCATAGTAAGTTGAAGATAGTGTAGGTGGAAGTGTATGTAACAAACTTAATCTACTGAGCATCCGCTGTCATCCAGCATCGATGTAGCCAGCCAGGGAAAGGATCAAAATTCAAAAGATAGTTTCTGTTGAATGTGTATTGCCTTTGCATTTTAAGGCCAAGAAAAAAAAAAAATAAGCCTAACCATTAAAAGTGAGGAGTGAGTGTGTGAGGGCCTTGAACTTGACTCAGTTTCCCTCCCGAGTCCTGCCAAGTATATGCCCTCACAACTGACTCAGTGCTCCTTGGAATGCAACATGCATCCTGTTGATCTTTTGCCCTTAGTGCTGGGAATATGCTAACAGCTCATTAAACAGTGCATGGTGATGAGAGAATTAGACACAACCTCCCCTTCCCGCCACCCCCATACACAGGATTTCTCTGTGTAGTCTTGGCTGTCCTGGAACTTGCTCTGTAGACCAGGCTGGCCTTAAACTCAGATCCTCCTGCTTCTTCTGGGATTAAAGGCATTCCCCACACCAGGCAAAGTATTCGATTCTTATTTAGAGTGATTTCCGTCCTGTGGGAACTTCAGTTCTCTGGCCGGCAAGCACTGGCAGTCTTCAGGGATCAGACAACTCCTCAGTTAGACGTGTGGGTTGTTAGTATAGTGCTTACTAATGGGGCCAGTCTTTTGCCAACTATCTTAATTGGCATTAGGGAGTGACTAAGTGAGTTACAATTTATTTGTATTTTGGGGGACAAATAAATGTTCTTTAAAGGTACTGAATTCCGTCTAGGCCATTTCAGATCTAACCCAGACCTCGACGGAAATCCCATGGCAGCTGCTAGTAGGCAGGGAGGGTTTGAGAAGAAGCTTTGTTGCCTGGTGTTTCATTAGGGAGAGTAAAATTGGGGTCTCTGTGGTTCTGCTTCTGGAAGGATCAAGAGGTTGTGAAACCTAACAGAAAGTTGACTCATAAAACCTACCTCTTGCCTCCTCTCTCCAGACCATAGAATCAAACTGGCGGTGTGGACGACACAACTTGCAGAGGATTCAGTGCCGCTCTGAAAATAGTAAGGGTGTCTACTGTTTGCAGTATGATGATGACAAAATTATCAGTGGCCTCCGAGACAACTCTATCAAGGTGAGGTGCTGAGTCTGTGTAATTCTAGAGTGAGGCACAGGAGTGAGGTGCTGCTGTGTGGCAGTCTCTGCTGCTGATGATAGATTTTTCTCTGTTCTCAGCATCAGCAGCTCTCCTGTGATTCCAAAGAACCAGAACCAGCGTTTTCCTATCTCATCCCACTTGTCCCTGGCTCTGAGCACATTCCCCTCAGATTCCCTTGTTCTGCCCACTGGATAACCCTTTTATATCTTCATGCCTGGGAAACCAGTGGTCTTCCTAGCCTCACTTTACTCATCCATATATAAAATCTAGCATTTCCTATCAGTCTATATCTGTATAACATGTAACAAACTCTTGAAGCTGACTTCTCAGTACAGGAGTGTTTAATTTTTTTCACTCTTGCTTTGTTTAGCAAAAGTTTATTCTTGTTGTGAAGTAGCATTCCATGTTATTGGGAACATCATAGTCTGCTAATCCATTTAAGTTCTCAGACATGTTCAAGCTGCTTGTGGCTTCTCAGAATTGTAAATGAAGCCTTTGGAAATACCTGTGCAGGGTCTTTGCAGGAATATAAGTTCAGTTCACTTGAGTGAGTCAAAACCTTGAAGCTGAATTGCTGGCTCATGTGGTAAAATGATCTTGGGTTTGGGGATGACATTGTAGATGTAATACTAGACCATGGTCAGTGAAAGAAGAATTGATGGGTTCATTAGCATGACGGTTTTCTGCTTTGTAAGAAAATACAGGCCCCAGACTGACAGAATATACATGTAAAAGACAGCTGATAAGGGAGTGCTAGCTAAAGTTGCGGAAACTATAAAACACAACAATAAGGAAATAAAACATATTTTTAAGAACAGACAGAGACCTTAATAGATACATCTCCAGATAGTGTATCTAGGCAGCAAAGCAGCATTTGCAAAAGTGGCCATGTTGTCAGTCTTCAAGGAAGGGGAAAGCAACAGTGAGAAACATCACATTCCATGAGTGTGGCAACACCACAGCACTCACAGGACTGGGTGAAAGTGAGGAATCAAGCAGAGCCCTCGCCCATTGCTTGTAGAAATGTGAACTCGCCCAGCTGCTTTGGAAAGCTTCTTGGCAGTTCCTTAGAAAACACTCTCATCTTCTGGCCCAGTGCTTCGGTTACTTAGTATTTGTTGAAAGGATACCCCAATACCTGCACACGTTTGCAGCGGCTTTAGTCATAATTGCCAAGCCTTGGAAATAAGCAGGTGCCCTGTCCTGTAGTGATGAGTGGATAAGCGGCAGTACAACCAGTTGGTGGGATACAAGCCTTAGGAAGACACAAAGAGCTTTGAATGCATATTACTAAGTTAAAGAAACAAAGTCGAAAAGGCTGTGTGATGCAAGAGTCAATGTGTGATGTTTTGGAAAGGGAAAACGGAAGAATAGTAAAAGAAGAGAGGAAAAAGCTCAGGGTGTGAAAATAACTACTACTAATGTACTTTCTTTTCATTTTCTGAAACTAGGTTCATTGTGTCACCACACAACCACTTTTTGATTCTTTTTTTTAAAGATTGATTCATTCATTATGTATACAGTGTTCTGCCTTCTCATCTTAGATGGTTGTAAGCCACCATGTGGTTGCTGGGAATTGAACTCGGGACCTTTGGAAGATCAGCCAGTGCTCTTCTGAGCCCTATTTCCAGCCCTTGTTGTGATTCTTAAGTGCTTAACTTTGTAATAAAATAACATATTTTTTAATTAAGAACTCTTGGTGGTTGGGGGTTTTCAGGGAACAAACACTCCATATAGGTAAAGTTTTGACACTATAAGGTTATGTGTTTTTTAAATAATTTATTTTTATGTACATTGGTGTTTTGACTGTATGTGTGTCTGTGTGAGGAAGTCGGATCCCCTAAAACTGGATTTTGAGACAGTTGTAAGCTGCCATGTGGGTACTGGGAATTGAACACAGGTTCTCTGGAAGAGCAGTCAGTGCTCTTAATTGCTTAGCTGTCTTTCCAGCCCCAAGGGTATGTGTTTTAGGTCTATCCTGGAAGCTAGTCGGTATTGCCTCTGTTCTGTTTCCTCTTGTCATTTCCTGCCTTGTCATTTCCTACTCATCTTGTTTCCTACACCCTGTGTATTTTCTTGTATGATTTAGTGTGTGGGATGCATGAGAGCCTTTGGGTAAAGTGTATGCACTAAGTTACCACTGTGGTTGATCTTGTCTCACTAGATCTGGGATAAAACCAGCCTGGAATGTTTGAAAGTGCTAACAGGACACACAGGCTCTGTCCTCTGCCTCCAGTATGATGAACGAGTCATTGTAACTGGTTCTTCAGATTCCACAGTGAGGTAAGTCATCTGGTTGCCTTCTCTGATCTCAAAGACCTGTCCTAAGAAGACAAAGATGTATACCTCTTCAGGGATTTACACACATACGCCATACACACATCCACATGCATGTATACATGTTGTACATATTTTTACTTACTGTATCTCAAGGCTCCTTTTGATGGAGTCATGTTAAGCAAATAGACCGGAAGGCTGAGTTTTAGATGTGTCTTGTTCTCTTGCATGTTCTGTAGAAATGGCAGTGTGCTCTCCTATAAAATCATACTGCCTTATATTAGCTCCCCCCCCCCCCCCAGTTCTTAGGAGCCTGCCATCCAGAGCAGAGAAGGAAGAAGTTAGTTGTTCTTGAAGTGTGAAGGGCTCAGGAACTGAAAGAATCAGGCTGTTTGCAGACCCTTGGGAAAGTGAGATCCAAGAGCCAGAGATGGTACATTTTGATTACAATCTCTGCCTGAGTTCTTTTAGGCATTGTCTTCATCTTTGTAGATGCATTAGAAAACTGAGAGCTTATACAGATTCCTTGGAGTCACATAACCAGTGCAGTTTTGAACCTTGAGTTTAGGTCATTCATAACTGTATTTGTAACCATTCTAATGGTGGAAACATTAGTTTTTAGTTACTGCCCCAGGGCAGAGTAAAGAAGACATGTCGAAGGGAAGCAGTGACTGGTGGTTGGATATCAAGAATAAAAAGGAAGCATTAGTGAGATCCGTACCTAAACACTGGGGAAAGCACAGCTCCCCACACTTGATCGGCTTGCCGGGGGAGCGATGGCATCTAGCAGAGACCCAGGGTCCAGTATCTTGTAGTGAAGTGTGGCTGGACTGAGGGGAAGTGCAGGCAGTGAGAGCAGAGAAGAGCAGCCCTTCTCAGGCAATTCCAGTACTTAGAGAGGACTGCTCATCTACAGGCACACAGAGTAGTACGAGAGTTGCTCAGACTAGCCCTGGCTTCTGTGATGGCCCCGTTAGGCCACTTCTTCTGCCACATGTCACTGCTTGGCCTTCAAGGTCATCTGGTCCATATTGAAGTATCCTTTAGGATATTGGGGCTTTTTCTGGAGATGCTGCACCTGTGCATCCCATGTCTCAAGTGTAAGACAGAAAGTGCTTTGATATACTACCACAGTGTAGTTTTCAGATATAAGCAATAGATTCCTCAGCATGCCAGAGGCCAGCAGATATCTTAAGCTTGGGATTACCCAAGGCTCCCCAACTTTCAAACTCCTCCTGTCATCACGGACCCACTGAAAGCCTACTGTCTTGAGGGATTGTCTTTGTCACCTCTCCAAACCTGAAGACATCCCTGAGTTAATTATTTTGAGTATGAAGTAAAACTGCTCATAGCCAGATTTAGCTTCCTTCTTAAAAGCATCTTAGCTTTGTCAGCATTAAGGAGGCTGCTGCCTGAGTTCTGCTGGCAGCGGGTACCTGGTACAGTAAGGGAGATAACTGAGCCCAGACTTCACCTTTCCCTACCTTTCACTGTCTGTTCTCTTGCAGAGTCTGGGATGTGAACACTGGAGAAGTTCTCAACACACTTATCCATCACAATGAAGCTGTACTACACTTACGCTTCAGCAATGGACTGATGGTGACATGTTCCAAGGACCGTTCCATTGCTGTGTGGGACATGGCTTCTGCCACCGATATCACTTTACGCCGTGTCCTGGTTGGCCACCGTGCTGCTGTCAATGTAGTAGACTTTGATGACAAGTACATCGTGTCTGCCTCTGGAGACAGGACCATTAAAGTGAGTGTCTGCAGTCTTCACCCTGATTGTTCTCTTCCCTTTACAAAAAAGAAAAGGCAGAGGTGGTTCACATTAGGTGGGAAGGTCTGTTCTTTATGCATTCCTGTGAGACCTTCACATGCTTCTGGAGCCACAGGCAAGGCAAAAAAGAAAGAAAAGAAGCCATTTCCCAGTAGAGAACAGTTGCCAATTTCATGAGATGACATTGTTAGTCGCCCTGAGTGTGCCGTGTGCTGTGTGGAGGAGATTTACATTTGACATCTCACACCACCACCGCACACCCTTTTTTAGGGTAGGTGGTTTTTTATTTTTTGCTTTTTCACAAATATGGCTCAAACTAGTAGTGTGGAGCTTAGATTTGGTTTATCTCACTTCTGAGAGCTTGGTGTTGTATAGTCCCTGGTTAGATGCTGGAGAAAGGATGAACAAGACTGAGATAACCCACAGGGTGTAAGAAATTTAGTTCTGATTCTCCTGTCCATGTTAACTTGATTTCATTATGTGTATGTCTGTATACACATACTCATTTTTTCTTAATTAAGTTGATTCTTTGACAATTTCCCCCACATAAATATGCATATATTCTCATTTTTCTTAATTAAATTGGTTCTTTGGCAGTTTCACGCCTTGAACAGACTGACCATTTTCATCATGTTCCCACTTCCCTGTTTCTCCATTTCTCCACAAATCTCTTTTCCATGGTCGACTCTGTTTTCTTCTGTGATCCATTGAGTTTGGCAGCATTGGCTGGGTGGCATGGGTTTGGAGTTACCTATTGGAGCCTCATAGGCTCAGAGGTAGGTACACAACTGAAGCAAGGACCCCCTTGTCCCAGAATCTTATCAGTAGCCTAAATAGTTCATCAGTAAGGGATTGGGCCCTTACTGTATTTAGTAACAGCTTTGTTGATCTATAATTTCTATACCTGAAGACTAGGCTTTTTCAAATGTACAATTAATTTAGTACCTTTACAGCTTTGCATAGCGTTACCCCAGCCTAGTCTGTAAACATTTTAATTTCTGACACTTACTATGCACTAGAGTTAGCCTCTCCCCTTTCCCCACGCTCCTGGCATTCAGCATTCTACCCTCTGTCTCTGAATTTGCCTGTTTTAGACATATCATGTAAATGGAATCATGTACTATGTGGCCTTTTGTGTCTGGCTTTCCCATGTAATGCAGGCTTTTGCACAGAGCAATGCTTTGCTGCATCTGGTGGCCAAATACATTTTCACTCTGAACAGACCACATTTTTCCTTATGTGCTGGTGGACATTTTTTGGCAATTGTGAACGATGTTGCTGTAAACATTTGCCCATGCGTTTTTGCACATTCATTTAGTTCTCTTAATTGATTCACATTGCAGGGAACTGCCAAATGGTTTTCTACTGTGGCTGTCCCTTGTTTTGGTCCTGCCAGCATGAGGTTTTGTGCTACTGGCTTTAAGGACTTTGTAATGACTAGCACTGGACTGTGTTCTGGTCTCTGGTAACTGGCCCGCACAAATCATGGGCTGTGCTGCATCAGACCCGGAAGCTGAACAAGTAGATTTCATGTGCGTTAACTTAGCCACATCACAGCAGTCAGGACAAGGACAGCCTCTGACAGTTGGTAGCACTTGGGCCTGATCAGAAGGCATGTCTGTGGGAAGATTGCCTCACACACTTGCGACACTTGTTACTATCTTGTTTTGAATCATAGCTGTCCTGGGCTGCACAAGTATCTGGAGTTTTGCTTGCACTCTGCAGTGGCTACTGGTGTCTTGTTGCTTATTAGTCACTATGTACCTGCTCTGGATAAATGTATCTTAGCCCACTTAGTAACTTAGTTTTCTTTTTCTGATTGAGTTATAAATTTTTAAAATGTTTTTTATACGTTGTGGAGATGTTCTCCTTAATTAGATAAATGATTTTTTTCTCATTCTTTTACTGTGTTGATGTCATCCTTGGGAGCACAGATAACTTTGATGACAATCAGTTTACCAATTTATTTTTTGTGTTGTGTGTACTTTCAGTGTGATCCCTAAGAAAGCATTGCCTAACACTAGAGGTTTACTGCTTCTATATAACCTTCCTCCACCTGAAGGTTATATAGTTTCCATTGTTCCATTTAGATCTTTGATCTATTTTGAATTAAAATTTTGCATATGGCATGGGGTTCGGGGTCTGACTCCATTTGGTGGGGGTAGGCATAGAAATATCTCCTCATTCTGTTGAGCTGCAGATACACCTGGCACATTAACTCAGGGACTCCAGCCACTGTGAGTTTCCTTATTTGGCTCGTTACATAGTATGTGTGTCTGGGAGCATCTGTATCTTAAGAAGGATTCACAAGAGGGGATTATTTATATCGTGTATGCAATGTTAGGAGTCATCTGGCAAAATAAATGGTACTACTCAAACTGGTGAGAAGGGGGGTGTAGAGGGTGAAGATTTAAGTGTGACCTGTGAGCTAGTATGCAAACATAAAATCTGACACACACAGGAAAGGCCTGAGCCTTCCAGGATATGTTGTCTTTGTGAAGATCTCAAACTTGAAACTTTTTTTTTTTTAAGATTCATTCATTCATTATCTGTGCAGTGTTCTGTCTGCATGCGTGCCTTCACACTAGAAGAGGACACCAGATCTCATTATAGAGAGTGTGAGCCACCATGTGGTTGCTGGGAATTGAACTCAAGAACCTTTGGAAGAACAGCCAGTTCTCTTAACCTCTGAGCCACCTCTCCAGCCCCCAACTTTAGACTTCTTAAGTCACCTAAATTTCACTTCAGTTTCATTACCCACAGCCAGGAAAACTTAGGCCTTCCAGTTTCTATCCAATCCATTTTTACCTGAGAAGAAAGTTTGTGGCTGGGCATTTGGGATCGTTTTTGGAGTGTGCCCCTGTCTCTCTACTCTGTAGCCGCACTGTCTTTAACCTCGCCGTCTTCCTGCCTGCTGAGTGCTAGGATCATAGCGGTCCATCTCCCTGCCAGCTCTCTTGGAAGGTATCTTGTGGCAGGATTTGGTGTCGTGCTAACAGCACTGCTGTCTGTGTATAGGTGTGGAGCACCAGCACCTGTGAGTTTGTTCGCACTCTGAATGGGCATAAGCGAGGCATCGCCTGTCTGCAGTACCGGGACCGGCTGGTTGTTAGTGGATCATCAGATAATACCATCCGGTGGGTAGAAAGCCATTCACTTCTACAGAAACCGTCCATAAAGGCCAAAAGGTCTCACTCCAGAATTAGAACACATAGTAGTTTATACCCTGTAAATCATGCTGCGGAGAAGGCTTGATGTGGGCAGTAGTTTTGTATTTCTAAGACACTTGAGTCCAAGGCCCACTCCTTAGGAACCAAGTAACCCTTGGGAGACCACCAGGGCTAGAGTCCCTGGCTGTGTGTGATCTCCTTGTCCTTCTTTGCTAGACATGCTTTTTTCCTTTCCTGACTCAAGTCTACATCTCCTCCAGAAAAGCTCTTCTGAGGCCATTGGGCCCTGTGGATTTATCAGCTGAGAAGTCAAGAGCTAAGCATAATTCAAATGATTTGATTTAAATAGAAAATGCCTTTTTAAAGTTTCAAATTGTATAAAACAAAATATAACAGAAAGTGAGGTTTCTGCCTAAATTAGTGATAAAAGCACAAATGTTAGATTTAGCGGTGTATGTGTGGTATGAGCCAGGAGTGAGGTAGGAATATGAAATTCAAGGAGAATGAAAAATCTTACCCGCATGGAGCAGGTATACAGAATTTGAGGAGGGCACGAGTCATGTGTGAGAATTCGTTTCATAGATGACTGCTTCTTGTTCAAGGCTATGGGATATTGAATGTGGTGCCTGTTTAAGAGTCCTAGAAGGGCACGAAGAATTGGTCCGATGCATCCGTTTTGATAACAAGAGGATTGTCAGTGGCGCCTATGATGGGTATGTATTTAGTATGCACTTGCATGGCTGCAGCCTTGTCAGGAACAATAGTGCTGTGTGTTAAATAGCTCTGTGCATGCTGGACTCTGTGTGAGAAAGATCAGCCATACCAGTGGGTCAGATGAGGATGCTCAGGCCCAGGGAGATGAAGTACAGCTTGCCTTAATCCCACCATAGCCAGACACTGGACTTGTAGCATATGTTCCATTAGTAGAGATATAAACAGTAGGGCCTCCAGGATGGCTCGGCACCAACCTGGCAACCTGAGTTCAATCCTGGAACCCCTTGTGCAAGAAAGAAACTCACTTCAGAATTTAACATCAGAGTTATTCCCAGACTTACACACATACACACAGCATACATGCGCATGCACACACACAGATTAAACTACAGGGACTTATATTTCTTGCCTTAATTATAAATGAACCTGGAAACATTTTCCTCCCCATGAACTCAGTAATAAAATTCCTCTTTTCTCCTTTTGTTTTCAATGACAAATGGAAGGTATATGTCCCAGTCCTGCATTATGTATGCCTGGTCAGTGGACTTTTTTTCATGTAGAGAAAGGCAGCCTGGGAATGACTCAGTCCCCCAAGTAATGAGTTTGGTAACATAGATATCAAGTTAGGAAGTGAATTTAGGTAACTCAAGGTCTTCTGCCTGTTTATCACCTTAACAATTACATCCCTTCAAAGTTTCAGGAATTCTGGGAAGGTTTAGGTTCTTTTTCTAAAATCTAAGTTCACAAACTTAGAAACAGCAGCATGCTCTTCTTTGGGTTTCGTGGTAGACCTTTCAAGTGCACTGTTTTGTGTAGACAGCCCACTGTATAGACAGTGTTTACTCTTTTATTAATCCCACTCTCATTTTTCCTCGTAGGAAGATTAAAGTCTGGGACTTACAAGCTGCTCTTGACCCTCGTGCCCCGGCGAGCACATTGTGTCTGCGCACCTTGGTGGTATGTGATTTGTTGGGGTGGCAAGAGTGCCCAGGAAAGCTTGTGTCTGTACCATGCTTTCAGAGTTTCCTGGATAATTTTGGGCAGCTAGAATGTAGTACCTTTACACTATTTCAGGGTCCGCTGTAGGTGAGCAGGCACCCTCATAGCTGCTGCATTCCTCCAGTAGCCTTATGGGCGTCTGTAGCGTGCAGCTGTCTTGCATTTTATAACTGCACATTTGTGTATTAGGTAGAATTTCCTCTCAGTCTCTAGTATAGGGACATATTGGAAGACTTTAACTTAAATTTCATTTTAATAGACTTAATAACTGTATTTATTGTTAAAGAGTACACTGTGGTACTTTGGTCTATGATGTATATCTTAGAAAAATTGTCAACCAGTTAATGAATCCATCAATTTTCATTTCTCTGTGATAGAAATATTAGCATTTTTAAAGAATTAAGTGTGGTTGTTCAGCTCTATAATCCCAGCATTTGGGCTAGAGGTAGGAGGATCAAGACTTTAAGGTCATCTTTGGCTACATAGTGGGTTTGAGGCCAGCCTGAAATACATAAGAGCCTGGCTCCCACCTACAAAAAACAAACAAGCAAAACACCTACTCTTAACAAATCTTGCAATATGCAGCCCTTTGCCTTTTACTCTAGTGCAGGGGTGCTCTCCGTTCTGCCTCACTTCTGTGAGATTCCAGTGTGTGGGATCGTTGTCTTTCTGTACCTGGCTCATTCCACTTACTAAGTGACCTCTGGGTGATTGACTAGCCATGTCAATGTAAATGGCAGCACGTTTCCTTTGCTTTAAGACCAAATAAATCCTTTATTTTAATGTGTGAATCTTTTTGAATATTACCAAAGCTATCTAATACTGTGGCTGATTCTGTTGGATTTTTTTTTCTTTTTTGAGAAGACATCTGGAAACAGTGATAGTCTTTTCTTGAAAATTTCAGCAATTTTTTTCCTTTTTAAAAAATTTATTTTTACGGCTGTGCTGGTGATACACGCCTTTAATCCCAGTACCTGAGAGAGGCAGAGGCAGTCGGGTCTCTGAGTTTGAGGCCAGCCTGGTCTGCAGAGTGAGTTCTAGGACAGCCAAGACTACACACAGAAACCGTGTCTCAAAAAATAAATATCTAGCTTTATGTGTATGAACGATCCCTCTCCTGTGTGTGCTTGCCTACGTATGCCTGTTGGATCCCCTGGAACTAGAGTTATGATGGTTGTGAGCCACCATGCTGGTGCTGGGAATGCAGCCTGGGTCCACAGCAGGAGCGACAAGTGCTCCTTACTACTGAGTGTTCTCTCCAGACCCAGCTTGTGTTTGCATTCCCTTACTTCCTGCACTGACTAGACCAGGCAAGACAGTAGTGAGGGCCGCTCCTGCTTTTGGCTTGAATTGTGATGTCTGCTGTGATTTAACATAGGTGTTCTGGGTCATCTTAAAAAAAAAAAAAAAAGTATGTATGTATGTATGTATGTATGTATGTATGTATGTATGTATGTATGTATGTATGTATAGTAACTTTGCCCTTCTGATTCTGGTTTTGTAGTGTGTCCCCCATGGGTATTGACTTTGATGGCCTCTGTGAGGTCAGATAGTTTTTCTTCTGACATATTACCAAGTCATGTGTAGGTCATAATGTTTAACTTAAAAAAGTAACACCTAGAAGGCCAAGCAGAATGATTGTTCTCAGAGAAAGGACACAGCTCAGTGGCTGGGCGGCCATGCAGGAAGCTCTGAGAAGTGCGGACTTTTCAGCCTGAGCTGAACCCCAGCTCCGGAGGTGGGGCTGTAAAGACAGTACTGTTAATCAAGGTTGTCTTTCACAGGAACACTCTGGACGTGTGTTTCGGCTGCAGTTTGATGAATTTCAAATCATTAGCAGCTCCCATGATGACACTATTTTGATTTGGGATTTTTTAAACGTGCCTCCCAGTGCCCAGAATGAGACACGCTCTCCTTCCAGAACTTACACATACATCTCCAGATAGCGGTCTGCACTTTGGCCCAATCTGGTGAGTGTGCTCAAACTCTGTCCCCATCTGGGCTCCTCAAAACCTGTTTCTGGGCTGTACCTTCCCTCTGGGAATTAGGAGATAGGGGTTTCCTTGGTGATGTGTAAAAGCCTCTACGATGATTTTCTAAATGGTCATAGCCACTTAGCACCAGGATGGCTTTTCAGGTTTGATTTTGGAGTGCAGAACTCAACATTTTTTCCTGGTTCGTTGGTTCTGTGACTAACTGACAGGTACACACACAAGGACAATCCAAATTCCTCCTCTTCCCAGCACCACAGTCCGCTCTGCAGTGCCATCTCCACAGGGAGCCGTCACAGAAGATGTTACGAGTCTTGAAAGCTTCTTCCTGGGGAAGGGCACCGGTGCTTTGGGAAACAAGTCCTTGCCTCTAGTTACAGAGCCATCGAACTGTTGGGGACAGAATGGTTTTCTTGCCAGGATGTACAATTTAGAAGGAGAGAAGGCCAACGTGGCCACATCCCAGATACCCATAACTACTGAGAACAACATTCCTACCTGGAGGATTTGCCCGAAGCCACTGGCTTCTGTGCACATCACATTTTGTAGACTTAATAAATACCCTTACTTCATACATATATGTATACACACACACACACACACACACACACACACACACTTGTGATTAGATTGTCTTAATTAAAAAGCATTACTTATATTATTTAGCCAAGCGTGGTGTTGCACACCTTTAATTCCAGCGCGTAGGGAGGCAGGGGCAGGCGGATTGCTGTGAGTTCTAGGGCAGCCAAGGCTGCACAGCAAAAACCCTGTCTCGTCTCCAAAACATAACAACAACAAAAATTGCTTAATTCTTTATAGCTTTTTATTTATTTTCACATTTATTAAAGAGTAAAAATAATCTGGGTGATAGTGGCACATATTTTTATCCCTGTTTCAGATATTTTTTAGTCAAGATTCTGAGTTCCATAAATGACTGTGAAGAAGTCTGCCTTGCTCAGAGTTTACACACTGTAACCAAATGTCCAATTTGACCCATTGCATGCTTTGTTTTTTTTTCTGCCACTGCAGGCCAAAAATACTTCTTACATTTTAAACGCTTGAAAAATATCAAAAGGAAATTTTCATGTCATATAAAAAATTATAAAGGTTGGAATTTTAATGCCATCTAAAGTCAGTTTGATTGGAACGTAACTGCACGCATCTGTTTACATGTCATTGTGGCTGCTTCTATGCCTCAGTGGCAAAACTGAGTGCCAACCAGTTCCTTTATAGTCCTTTAAGAATCAGAGCTCTGCATCAAGAACGTTGGACATCTCAGTTTGACCAGTAGTACCGGCTGAGGGCTGCCTTAAGAATGTCTCTGTGACCCCAAAGGACTGCAGGGCAAGATGGACTGTTAACACCTGCTGTGTATGTATGAGGCCACCAGCAGGGCCCGAGACACGCACATGCTTACTGTGCCTGGCCTCCATGTGTCCACACCGTCTCTGCCTACACAGACCTCCCTCACTACCTTCTCTTGAAGATCGTTTATATCCATTCCAAATCCACATGGCAGAGTCTTGATTCACTGAGTGAAGTTGTTGGAGCACACCACACTAGAGGTTTACAGAGCAGACGACTGGAGCTCCTGACCAGTCATAACTAAAAAAGCCAAAGGAGCACAGGGAAGGGATGGAGGAGGTCTGACTTACCTCCTGCTCTCTCCCTTTCCTTCTTGAACCTGCCCCCTGTGCCCCTTCCACGTCCTGTCCAGTTAAAGTAATACCTGTTCTCCTTTCTTCTCCAGGGTTTTCTGGTCTTGAACTACTGGCTACATGGCTATCCCATGCCTAAGGGAGTTCGTTCACAGCTGAGTTCTGGGCTGGACTTGGTTCTAGATGCTGGGTAGACACAAAGCAGCCCCACTCTTCAAGCCCTGACATTTCTCACCACGCCCAGCTCTACTTGGAGAAGGACAGCTTAGCTCACCGCTGCAAGTAGAGCATCAGCTCACGCCCCTCCCTCAGTGAAGACCCCAGCGCTTCTGATGCACATGTTCTCGTGAAGGACACATGGCCTGTATGTTCTCCAGAAGCAGAGACCGTTGGGAGAAGCCCTGCCTCTAATTTACATCGCTTTGCGCCTTGGTTTGGCACTAAAAGCAGCCTTGCATTCTTGGTGAAGTGCTGGGTGCCAAACACCGACCCAGAGTTTTCAGGGCGTTCCTCTCCAGCAGCAGCTTCTCCTTAGACCGTCAGTCACTGTTGTGCACAGGAAGGTGGCGGACAGTGGGCAGATCTGGCTTATCTAGGATTTTTGGATTACACTTCCTTTCTGTACCAGTTTCTTTTAATTTAAATAATAAGCGAGTTATATTACCTCTCCACAGGTAATACAGCTATTTTCTTTTATTAACTGTTCTCTGTTCCCCCATCATCTCCTGATATTTGGTAGAGTAACACCTTTATCCGCGTGCTTGCCTCCTAATTTAAAATACTGTATCCGCATGTAGATATAATGTACATAACAATTCAAGCTCAAGGTTGCCGGCCCGGCCCCCTGTGCCTGAGACACTACTGTGGAGCGTGTGGCACTTAGCCGCAGGTGGGCCGAGCACCTGACTCCAGGGTTGCTGTGATTGCCTAGGACCTTCCTGCAGTATTCATTCGGGTTTTATTATTTGTGACTGTCTTTGTGTGCTCTGTGTTTTCAGCTGGAACTTCAGAAGTTTAACACGTGTATTTGTTGTGTGGCATCTGCAGTGGACAGGAATCTTCACAGTCTCCATGTACCTGTTCTTTTCCTCCTGAGAGCTAGTGCTCACCTCCTCATGGTGAGCATGGGCTTCTCTGTCCAACATCTTTCTACATGACAGTAACCCCGAGACAGGGAGTTGGTGGCCCTGTTGACAGGGCTCCCTGCACTCTGATGGGGTATTGGGGGTGCTGAGTTTGAGCCTGTGGAGCAGGTCAGCTGTTCAAAGCCCACAGTAAGGGCAAGGCACTCCTGTGTGGAGCACAGCCTCGGCCCTGTCAGCTCTGGTGTCACTCACTCACCTCTGTGTGAGAGTGGCACATGGACAGGACATTGGTCACCATTATCTCCCTCTTTCAAGATTAGGTGTTGATTTGCCCCTTGCCATTGTTTTCAAAGGAATGTCAGTCCAGTTTTAAAGGACCAAGCAGCCCTTCCCTGTGAATGAAGCTTCCCATGGAAGCACATTCTAGGAGAGAGAAGGGCTCTGGGCTCCGCATGTCCTGACATTGTGAACGCTGTGGGGTTGGTGCATAGGGGATTTGTTTCCTGGGTAGGCTTTGCTTTTTAGTTGGTTTTTGTTTTGTTTTGTTTTGTTTTGTTTTTGATATGTCATTCTCACATGCTTTTATGTTTGTTTCTGCGAGGTGGGGCCTTAAATAGAAAGTAGGCCCCAGTCCATAATGGGAGTGTGAACACACCACCTCACAGCTTATCACCCATTTGACAGGAATGCCCAGTGGAGGGGTGGGGGAGAAGGTGAGTTCTGAACAATTGGACTTTTCTGTTGTTTTTGCATGTTGAATACAGAAGTTCCTGTCAATCCTTGGGAGATCATGGCCTTCAAATATGCACACGACCTTTGAATTGTGCCTACTAAATTATAGCAGGGGACTTGGGTACCCAAGGAATTCCTATTTCTGGGATTACAGTAGTAGTTCCCAGTTGTACTCTGGACTTTATTTTGCTAACCGTAATTGAGCAACTGTAAATTACTGCTATAATAATGTGTTAAAGCACTGGGGTAGTCTAATTCTAACTGGTAATTAATTATGTTTGCCAATTATCTGTTTGAAATAAATATGTGTCTGAACAGCTATTGAAACTGTTAAATTGTACAGATATTATCATGACGGCTTTGTACTGTGGAATGTGCTTAATAAAAACAAAAGTTTGACCTTTGTCCAACAAATTGCTAAGTAATGTCAATAAATCAAGATGAGTATTATGCAGTACACCTGACCTGGCTTCAATGGCGATTGTTACTTCAGCTACTAATTCAAAGCCAATACTCTAAATAAAGTGTTGCAGTACTCCGCTCTTCTGTTACATTTTTCAGAAAAAGTTTTGTGCTACGAAGAATTAAGCCACATACCATTAAAGGTGGATTTTCAAAATCATCTGGTCTGTAAGGTGTGAAGCTGAAGGCACGGTTTCTGGCCTGTGAAATTCCTCACTTTTGGTTTTCCCAGAAAGCTTCAAGAGCTGAGGGATCCTCGATTAGAGCCATCCCCAGCAGCTCTTGGTGTTCATGGTTACTTCATGAATTCTGCAAAGTAGGAGAGCAGCTCCAGGTGAGAGGATCCTTCCTCATGAGGTGGTGTGAGTGGTGGAGATAGGTGCAGGAAGCAAGCTTGCCGTGAGTATGGGTTTTTTGGATGAAATAAAACAGTATTTTGACACACTTGTTCTCTTAAAATTTGGATAAGAAAACCAACTTAGAACCCCTGAAAGAGTACAGAGTGCTGCTTCCCCCGCTTGCTTCCCCCACTTCCACCCTCCTCTGTGTCCGCTGGGTACCCTTCTGTACTAACTCTGTTCAAGGCTGGGCTGCAACCCCGGCTTTCTGGTGATCGTTTCCTGCCATTCTTGTTTCATGGCTTCATATGTGGTTAAATGGAGATGTCATTTTGCAAATCCAGGTGAGAATGGAGATTGGCTTGTTTCTTGCATGTCCATTCTAAACAGGTCTCTCCCAAACCCTGCCTGTTAAATACAGTAAGCTGTGTTCCTTGTGTGTGTATCTGTGTATTTGTGCTGGTCCTTAGGAACAGCAAGGGATGGACTCCCCGTGTGGCCCAGAGGGGAGGATAGCAGTTTGGATTCTGTGCTAGATAGTTTTATGTCAAGTTGTCACAAGCTAGAGTCATCTGAGAGGAGAAAACCTCAATTAAAAGCCTCCATAAGGCTGGGCAGTGGTGTGGCAGGCCTTTAATCCCAGCACTGGGGAGGCAGAGGCAGGTGGATCTCTGAGCTTGGAGGGATCAGCGTGGTCTACAAATTAAGTCAAGGAGAGCCAAGGCTACCCAGAGAAACCCTGTGGGGATAGGGGGAAAGCTTCCATAAGATCAGGGTGTAGACAAGTCCGTAGTATATTTTCTTAATTAGTGATTGGTGGGGGAGGGCCCAGCCCATTTAACAATGTTGCAGTGTTAGCCAAATAAACCCTTTCTTCCCCAATTTGCCTTTTGGTCATGGTGTCTCATCACAGCAATAGAAACCCTAAGTTAGATCCTGACCTCTTCTCCCATACCTGGTAAAGACTCACTCCCACCTTCCTTCCCTTCTATTTTTTTCTTCGTAGATGCTGCAGGTGTAACCACTGGTGCTGGGGATTTGAGGGTCCTTGACCACCGTCAGAAATGAGCTGCCCTTCCAGACAGCTTGTCTTAATTAATACAGATTCTAACGGGCCATTTGGCTCATGGTCCTCTTCCCAGTTAGCTGCCTGGCACTCCTAGTTGGGGGTCTTTGCTCCCTGTTTGACTTTATTCAGGAAGGCACATGGCAAGCTTAGCTGACTGTGCAAGAACGCAGAGCCAGTGACCACAGGGCTGATTTCAGTGTAATGTGGATCATGCACTCACCCAACTTCTAGAAACTGACACTTTTTCATTAAGATGTATTTTTATCTTGTGTATGATTGTTTTTTTTTTTTTTTGCATCTCGGGATTTCTGTCACTGATAAAACACCACCACCGAAAGCAACTTGAGGAAAGGGCTTATTTAGCCGTCATCGAAGGAAGTCAGGGCAGGAGCCTGGAGGCTGGACCTGGAGCAGAAGCCAGGGAGGAGTGCCACTTACTGGCTTCCTCCTCCTGGCTTGAGTTTGTTTTCTTATACCACAGCCATCTCCCTAGGGTAGCCCCTCCCACAATGGTCTGGGCACTCCCCCATCATCTTTAATCAAGAAAACTCCCCAGAGGCTTCCCTACAGCCAGATCTTATGGAGGCATTTTTTCAACTGAGGTTACCTTCTCAGAAGACTCCTGCTTGTGTCAAATTGATAAACTAGCCAGCATTGCCTGCCTGTGTGTGTGTCTGTGCACTGAGTTGTGCAGGGCCTACAGAGGCCATAAGAGGGCAATAGGTGCCTTTGAACTGCAAGTATAGACAGTTGTGAGCCACCATGTGGGTGCTGGGAACTGAACATAGATCCTCTGCTAGACCATCTCTCCAGCCTCTGGCAACTGGCTTTATTTTTGTGTTTTTAACCAACCTCGTTACCAGCTTGCATCTCTGAATTAGTGTAGCATTAAGCATTTCTAGTATCCTACATGGGTATTGTCAGTGAAAGGCTTTAGGACTTGTAGAGGAAAGGGACAAGATAGGTGTATATAGGCCTTGTCGAATTGTGCTGTAGTATACAGTAGTCACACAACATGTTTGTGAAGAGGTATTTATTAACAAGACCAGAGGAGGAAGAAGCCAAGAACTGGGTTTCCACTTCCCATTGCTGTGCAAGTGTTAGGACAGCTATCTGCCTGGGTTGACCTTCACAGGAGGGCAAGGTGTGGGGTTGGCTTGGTCTCTATCAGGAGATTAGAAGCCTGTTTCGGCAGAGCTCCAGAGTTTCTGGACTGCTGTAGGCTTCTTGCATTAAGCTGTCTAGTGGGTATCCAGCTATCTTGGAATGGCTGTCTTAGGGTGCCATCGTTTGTCTGAGGATTGGGCCCTCTGTTTGTTGTCGTTTTGGTTTTTTTGAAATGGCCTCTGTAGCCCAACTTGTCCTAACTCACAGCATTCGTTTTGCCTCTGCTCCTAGGTGCTGTGATCATAGGCATGCCCCACAGTGCCTGACCTGGTCCTCTGACGTTCTAGTTCATGGATGTAACATGGCTGCTTAGGCATAGCTGTGTGAAAGTGACAGGGCAGGCAGGCATAGTTTTCCTCTGGTGGATTCCTCACCTGCAAGAGGTGAGTGAATAGACTCACACTGTCCCCTTGTCTCCTGCTCTGTCTCCACTCACCTCTAATCTCCTCCAGGAGCCATATTGTTTTTGTCACTGACTCTGGAACTTCTTCCTGGACTAGGTTGGGAGAACCCAGAACTTAGGGGACCTGGGATTGGGACCTTAGGACCAGCTCAGCCTGGTGTCTTGGAGAGACCCCTCTGTCAACCTTAATACCCTTGGGGCCAATTGGCTTCTCTTGCAGGCTGCATTTGCACTTCCAAATCCCAACAGCCCCCACACTCTTAAGATTTTACTAGAGAACTTTCTCCAGGGGCTACTCAGCTAGCAGCTAGCAGAGGAAAGGGCAGCTTTGGGTCCAGGGTCCTCCCCCAGGACTGGAGCTCTGTCATCAGTGTAGTAGGCAGGACAGTAGGCAAGAACATCCATTGCTTAGAATCTGAGCTTCAGGAATTTAGTGGTAACAAAAAAAAAAAAAAATAGAGTATTTTAAGATTATCAAAAGACTGTGGATGTCCTGGAAACATCACCTAGCATGGTGCCTGGTAACTCCACTAGTGACACTTGAATAGCTGGAGTGTGCTCAGTCAGGGTAGAGTGCTGTCGGATGGCATGAGAGAGGACACGGACACTGCAGCCAGCCCAGAACATGAGCTGATGATCCCAGTCAGGACTGTCCCCCCACACACGATGGAAGCCCCCTGGGTTTGCAAGCAGGGTCTAGGCTGTACATTGTGTCCTCTGTGGAAAATTTTGGAGAGTACATTGCCTAAATTGCTTCGGTCCATATTGGTAGCCATAGCTGACCTCTCTGTAGGTGGCTCTTCCCTGGTTCTCTCCATGCTCTCTCTGTGAATGCCATGATGCCAGCAGAGCCAGTCCCTACCCCTGCAGAGGATCCAGGCCTCGGGCTGTGTGGTCCATCCATGCTGATAGACTCTCTGCTCACCTCTCCTTCCACACTTCCACATCCTTGGTATGCATTTTAGTTGGGTTTTTGTTGTTTGTTCATTTGCTTGTTTTGAGATTAGGGTCTCACTGTATATCCCTAGCTGGCCTAGAACTCCCTATGTAGATCAGGGTGGCCTTAAACTCACAGAGATCCACCTGCCTCAGCCTCCTGTGTGCTGAGATTAAAGGTGTGTGCCACATCTGGCTTCTAGCATGCATTCTTGATCAATAATGTGTGATGTGCTTGGGTCAATACTCAAGGTGTGGGATTGTTTTTTTTTTTGTTTGTTTGTTTGTTTGTTTTTGAGTACAAGGGGTGGAATGCTCAGGCATCAGGCTCTGTCCTGGGCAAGTGAGCTGGGTGTCTACTGTCCCAATCCAGAATGATGCTGAGGTCTGGAGTAAGAGAGAACTCATGACATAACAGGGGTCAGATAAGATGAGGATGGGGCTTGGATGGCTATTAAGGAGGAACTATGGGACTTGCCTACAGTGGGACGTAGAATAGGTGGCAAGGCTCCCTGACATATTTGGTGTGTGTCTCCCCAGCACCACTAAGTGGCACTGTAACAGAAAGAGGACACAGTCCCTGCCCTCAGGAAGTTGTGTCCAGAATAGTCCCCTGTACTGCTGCAGTGTGCCAAAGCACGTGGAATGACAAGTCAAATTAATTAAGATGAGTAAGAGCAGTGAGGAGATCATGCGGGCAGGGGTTGGAGGTTTGGGACACCTGAGCCAAGACCTCAGAGGTAAGGGGCCAAATACGTGCTGAGGTAAGAAAAGATGTTCCTGAGGAAGCTGCAGAGTTGCAAAGGCCCTGAGGTGGGAAACCCCTGGAGTGGGCATCCAATCCCCCAGATAGGAGAAAAGAATATTGGAGGGGTGGTGGTGGACAGGTAATGCTTTGGGGTTTGAACAATGGCAATGTCCAGAGAGGCACTGACCTGAGAGCTGCCTAGAAAAGGGGCTTTGGATGGCTTCAGAGTCTGGATGAACATATGGGTTTAGGAGAAAGAAGGGTAAGCCATGGTACAGACAGAACCAGAATGCAGGCGTCTCCCGGGAGCTGTCTGTCTGCTGCTCACACACTGGACACCTAATCCTGCCTCACACTCCTTCCAGCCTCCAGCCTGTCCCTGGCTCTTGCTTGCTGGCTCCCTCCTTGGGAATGTTC